ATTTTCAAATGAGCTGAGTGTGTGTTTATCCCAGCTTCCTGTTTGGCATTTGGCTTCCTTGCAAAGATGGTGGACCATGCAAAGGCTGGGATCTAGCATTTAAAAAGCAGTTGATATTTTTAACCCTTCTAACCATATTGAACTTCAGCAAAGGCAGAGCCATCAGTTCATTCATTCATTTGACACGTTTACGGACAGCTCATGGGGCAGGAGAGTGAGCTCTGAACTTGGGCAGATCTGAGCTTCAGGCTCTGTCTGTCTCTCTCGGTCTCAGCTTCCTTGTAGGGCTAAGGCAGGAATTCTCATTCTTATTAGGATGGTTAAGAGCAGGGATCCTGGGCCCATCCTTTCTGGCTTTGAATATCAGCTTTGTCACTTGCTAGTTATGTGACTTGAGCAAATTACTAACTATTCAGTGCCTGGGGTTCCTATATCTGCAAACTGAGAGGAACTGTACTTGCCTCCCAGAGTTAGCTGTTGGGAGGATTAAATGGGTTACTGGATGGATATCAGGTTCTACTCCCTCCCCTTCCCCCTTCTCCTCCTTCTCCTTCTCCTTTTCCTGTGCTACTGGGGAATGAACCCAAGGCCTTCCAACTCAGCTACCTCCCCAGCCCATTTTTTATTTTGAATTAGGTCTCACTAAATGGTCTAGGCTGGGCTCAAACTTGTGATCCTTTTGCCTCAGTCTCCCAGACGCACAGGCATGTGCCACCACACTCAGCTTTTCAAATGTTTCAGACGCTGCCTGGCCCAGAGCGAGGAATGATATATGTGACCTAGAATTCTGATTATTCTTCTGGAGGCCTCCACACGATGACGGTTGTACATGGCAAAGACAGATCACCAAGTCCTTTCTTCTAGGCCTCATTTCCCTGTCTCCCCAATGGCCAAGGTGGCTGAGTTGCAACCCATGAATGCAGGTGGAAGCAATGTCACCACATCCAAATCTGACCCATAAAAACCATCCCCAGGGGACTCTACATCTTTCCCCCTCTGCTGTTTCACTGCAGATAAGCTTGGTGCCCCGGAAGTCACATACTGAAGATGGCACAGCCATGAGACGCAGGGAAGTAGACTATTTCAACAACCAGATGGAAATGAGCCCCCTGCTGATTGTCACAGTTTGTACTTTATGTAGGAAAGAAACTTCCTAAGTGTAAAGTCAGTGAGATTTGGGGACAGTTAGCAAAGCCCCGCCTTAGGTACCAAATCCCACAGGGGGTGGCATGGGGGGAGATGCCTTCCCAGAAGGAGCAACCTGGTTGCATTTATTTGGTTGTTCAACTCCAAGTTTCTGATGCTATCTGGGTAATGAGCAAAGGACAGCCAGTTCTCTAGACAGGGACAAGAGCTCATAAGTCTAGCAAATGCTTGGTATCTGGCAAGCTCCCTGCAGCCGGCTGCCCAAGCTGGCTGCCTGAGCTAACTGCCTCTGCTTTCTGGACAATGGGACAGCATTTCTGCCTGGATGCCACAGGGAGCTACTCAGATTACCCAGGCAGTAGTAGCCCAGGTTCAAAACATATCATTTAGCCTGCATAGCATTTTCAGTCCCTGTCTTCCCGGCCTCAGCCATCCCTATAGAGAGAATTAGAAGGAATGCTGCCTCCCAAGTGGGCAAACTGAAACCTTTCCTATTAAAACTCAGGACAAAACACATTTCCTGACGAAGTAGGGGGCCAAACAGAGGCTCACCATGTGGGACTGGCTTCTGGTTGGGAAGGATTGGTGGATCTATACCTGAGACAGACACATCAGTCGCACCCCCCCCATATACCAGTAGTAACTCCCCTTGTGGTAGATTCTCTTCTCCTTGATGAAAATCTCCAACACTGTATGTGTCCTTCTTGCCATGACTTGTCATTTTCCTCCTGGCACAGTCATCTGTCCACATGGTGAGGCCCTTCCAGACTTGCAGGGAGGCCGGAGCTTTTGAGTCCTGAGCCACTAGAAATAAATGACAAAATGTGAAAACTCAGTAGAGCAAACTCACAGAAAAACAAAGCCCAAGATGCTCTTGCCTTTAGCAGTGCACTGTGCTGAACAGCGAGGAAAATCTGGCTTATGCACCATGTCATGAGGTGAACTACGCAAGATAAGACCAACCCAACATGGACTATTATCAAGTGCCTGAACTGGAGGTACCTCCTAGGCTACCTTCTGAGCCAGGTCCCTTGTCAAATCGCCCCGCTACTCCTTGTGATCCCCTCCCTGCCTTGTCTCCACTATCAGACTGACGGGGCCGAGAGAACAGAGGGGCAGCAGGTAGTGGACACTCTGGAGTCTATGTTGGGCCAGAAGCTTGGATTTGTGACCTGTTTCCTAGAGGATCTTGGACAGATCACTTAGTCACAGTTCCATACGTCTGGTTGAGGCTGATCTTGGCTGCTATCAGGTACTTGCACGGCTCCTCCTCGCTGTACAAAACCTTTTGACAGATGAGAAGCACCAGCCAGAAGCACAGTTCTGTTGTTTGAGATCAGTTGTCCCTGTTATTACAGTATAACCTGGCCCTGGTTCTTGAAGTGTGGTCCCTAAACCAGATGTATCAGCTTCCTGGAATGTGCTGGAAATGCAAGTTTTCAGCCCCAGTTTACTAAAGTGGAGGTTCTGGGCTGGCAGTCAGCAGTGTGAATTTCAACTCCTCAGGAGACCAAAGCATGTGCACATTTGAGAACTGCTGCCTAACCGGCACAGACTGATATAGTAGTCTTATCAGAAATCCCAGAGAAGGTCATTCTGGCAAACTTTAAAAATCCAAGAAAGGCCGAGGATTTGGCTCAGTGGTTCTGCTGCCTGCCTCGCAAGTGCAAGGGCCCGAGTTCGATTCCCAGTACCAAAAAAAAAAAAAAAAATCCAAGAAAGACACTGATTAAATAGTGAGGCTCGTGCGTCATAGGAAAGGATTCTTAAGAAAAAAATATTGTGCCCATCACCCCTGGACTGAACCATTCTGTCAAAATGGCTAACACCAGCCATGTAGTCCTCTACTGTGTCAGAAGAAAACATGTGGCCTCTAAAGAGACACGCCAAGTTCAATGGCACTGAAGCTAGGTACCAAGGTCCTCCCAGCGATGCACTTCCCATTTACACCATAGCCTCACTCATTTAGGAAAATGCTCCTGAATGCTCTGAATCTGAAAGGCACACAAGACCCAATTTGCTCCACCACAGGGTTAGTCATTAGTGCTGCAGCCCAGGCAGTTTGGTAATGGGCACTACTTAAAGGTAGCAAAAAGTACAATTTCAAATTGGTTTTTAAACTGTCAAATAAAAGAAATCCATTTGTGCATGTGAAATTATTCCAAGGGCTCTAACTATCAACAGAAAGCAGGTGAAAAGTGTCAAAGAGAAGAAGAAACATTCTATTAAAGAGCTGGCTAAATGCTTCAAGGCAAAAACCTGATGACTCCTTAGACCTGATTTGGATTCAAAAAATATCTATTTTCCCCAGTTCTAGGTGAGCTCCATAAACAGGGTTTTAAGAAAATATTAAATCCTAGAAAAAAAGATGCCAATTTCTTCACTGGCACTGCTTTAACCAGTGTGACCCAAACACTGTCTTGTGAACAGGACAACGGCGTAGTATCACTCTTACTTTTTTCCTTTGGCTTAAAATTTGATGTCAAGGGCCTTTTCCAAGCAGCTTTGCAAGTAGGGCTATTTTATGGTCTTCTATTTGTTACTGATGCCTGTAGCTGCAGCCCAGGTAGTGGGAAGGAAATCCGCAAAAGTGGAGAAAAGGGCCTGGGCAGGGGCATACTCGGGAGAGAAGACTGCACTGGAGGGTGGTCTCACTCAGTGACAAACAGTGACAGAAGCCTGGGCTCTTCTGTGGGAGGCCAGCCCTGCTTCCTCCATCTCACTTCCCTATGGGTTTCTACTGCCACTGGTTTTGCCTTCATACCTCTACTATCTTTGTTGGTCTTGAAATGAAGCTGCTGGAAATAATGAGAGAACCTTCTCTTTGCCCTCTAGGCACCTCTAACCCATGTCTCTTTGCCAAGCAAATACAAACAAAACAATCCCTGCTTATTCAGTCCAGAAGGAAGCTTGCAGGTGGTAGCCAGCTAGAGGCATAGAGACAGGGAACTCTTCTCACACTTGAATGTGCACACAAATCTCCAGGGGATCTTGCTTAAAATGCACATTCTGGCTCGGTAGGTCTGGGTGGAACTGTAGAGTCTGCGTGTCTCACAAGCTCCCAGGCGATGCCCATGCTGCTGCAGGCACAGAAAGGCGTAATGAGCAGTGAGGAAATACTGCACATTCTGCAAAACAGTGACTTTAGAACTTCACTTAACAGCATTTATCTAGGGGTCTAGTTCCCATTTGATTTAGGGTTCCTTGAAAGCAGAGACTGGGTCTTAGATATTTTCTTCTTGTTTTGTTCCCTGGCTGGCACTTGGCATAGGGCCCATGCATGGTGGGTATTTATTTAATTAAACAGACTTGGCCTTGTTCCAAAAAAGGACTTTAAATGGACTTAACCCCTAGTAGACCCGAAATGGGCATTTGATGAGTTGGCCAGGAGACGAAGTGAAGCCTGGACATCTTTTGCGATAAAGCCCCCCACCTGCCAGCACCTGGACTACACCTTCTTCGGAAAATTTTACTCTTGCCTCATTTTTAAAGCGGTTTACACTAGAGGGCCGATGTGAAAGGCGGAGGAAAAAACAAAAGCAAACCAGAAAGCCTTGCTAAGCCCGAAGGCTCCAGAATATCAAAAGGTCAACTCTCTGTGGCAGAGATTCAGAACTCTCTCTGCCTTGAAGCCAGCGTTTTGCAGGTCGGTGTCGCGTGTCCGCGCCACCCAGGTCCGCCCCAGCCCCTCGCAGAAGCCTATCGTGTTGGCTCGGTGCAGCCTGTTTGTTAGCTGTGGGCGAGCAATTGATTTCCTCAGGCATCTCCTGCCTCCGGGGGAGGGGTAGTGGTGGCCTGGGGTCGGCCTGCGGGTCGTGGGGAATCTAGACAGCAGCCACTGCTCTGTAGAAACCGCTGTTCTGAGGGTCCTCCCGTGCCATAACCTGTTTTCTCTGCAGCAGCCTCAGACCATAAAGAAAGGACTATTTAGGCTCCGTTGGGAGCAGGGAGAGAAAAGGAGAGAAGGAAGGGGATTACAGCACATCGGTCAGTTAGGCCTCTCGGCGGAGGGAGGCGCGCACCGGTGAGCGCCCTAGGGGAGAAGTGCACGTGCGGGAGAGGGAGGGGACATGGAGTAGAGGGAGGCGCCTCGGCTTCGCAAACGCCTGCGCTGGCAGTGGAAGAGTAGGAAAGTTCCCGGGGACCAAGCGGCCCCCGGAGAGGGCCGACGTGAGGCCGCGCCGCCCAGAGGGTCGCAGGTCCCTTCGCACCTCGGGCACTTGGTCCCCAGGGCTCGGTCCGCAGGAAAACGACGGAGATTGGTGGGCTGGTAGCGGGCGGCCACGGCTAAACTTGGAGGAGGCGGAGGAAGAGGCGGGCGAGGAGGAGGAGGAGGAAAAGAAGGAGGAGGA